TGCCTTATGGTGACGAATTTAAAAAATCGTCATTACATCATCACATACGGCGACGACCACTACATTGGTCATCTTATAATTTATTTTTCGTCACATAATCGTACTTTTCATGACAATACATCTCAATTTGTCACCTATACATCTAAATTTGTCACATTTATACAAAATGTGACAAATTCCATGTGACAAAAAAAATGTCGTCACTGTTGTTGGTATTGGAAATGACGCTTACGATTAATTCGTCATATATAATTATTTATTGTGACGTTACATTATAGTACATCTAAATTCGTCACATTAATACATACTATGACGAAATTCAGTGCGACGAAAAAAAATCGTTGTTTTTGTTTGTATTTAAAATGACGCTTATGAAAATTTCGTCATTATATAATTTTGTTTTGTGACGATAAATTATAATTCAATTAAATTCGTCACAATAATATAAAATCATTGTTTTTTTCTATTTAATATGATGCTTACGAAAAATTCGACATTATATATTTTTTTGTGACGATAAAATACAATTCATTCAAATTCATCACATTAATACATATTATGGCGAAATTCATTATAACGAAAAAAAATTGTTGTCATTTTTTTTTTATTTAAATTGACGCTTACGAGTACTTCGTCATTAAATACTTGTGTCTTGTGACGATACATTACAATACATCTGGATTCGTCAGAGAAATACATATCATGATGAAACTCGCACGTCGTCATTCTTTTTGGCATTTAAAATAACGCTTATGAGTAATTCGTCGTTATATACATATGTCTTGTGACCATTACAATACATCTAAATTAGTCACATTAATACATCTCATGACGAAATTCATTGCGACAAAATAAATGTCGTTGTTAGTTTTGGTATTTACAATGTCGCTTTTGAATAAATCTTCGTTATATAATTTTGTATTGTGACACTACATTACAATACATCTAAATTCGTCACACTAATAAATCTTATGAGGAAATTCAATGCGACAAAATAATTGTCGTACTTTTTATGTATTTAAAATGATGCTTTTCGAAAATTGGTCATTATTGCAATATGCATTGTGACGATACATTAGAATACATCACATGTTGTCACTTTTTTTATCTAACATGACAAATTCCATGATACAACATAAATGTCGTTGTTTTTTGCTTTTAAAGTTATTGATGATTTTGCATAGAACATCTCGCATATTTTTTTTTTATAAAACATAGACTTTTTAATGACAAATTTCTTTCTTTAAATTTTTTTAAAGAACATCCAATTCAACAAAAACTAGTACAAATAACAATTACAGCTAAAATGGTTTTTTGGCCTGTTTCATTACCCCCATTTTTGGTTTCAGTCCTCCAAAATGTCCATTTTTTTAGCCCGTTAAGTGCAAAAAAAATAGAAAAACAGTTATGTGACCGCCTACACACGGTGATCCTTACCTGAAGGTTGAGCTGAAATTTTATTTATTTATTTATTTATTTATTTTTCCATAGGTGGCAGCTGATTTACAATCTCATTTCATTTTTTTTTTCTTTTTTTCCTTAGGTGACAGAATTAAAAAGAAAAATTATATTTTCAAGTTGAGGACTTGAACCTCTAACCTCCTACTTAGAAAGAAGGAGGTTTGTCCAATGAACTACAACCACTACTTGTTATGGTCTTAAAATTAATTAAGATTAATATAATAATATAAATACAGTAAGTAATAAATAATACAATAAATAAAAATATTTAAAATATATAAATTGAAAAATAAAATAAAATACTCTTCAATTATTAATTTTATTTGCTTTTAGTTAGTAATTAATATATATTTAAAAATATAAAAATCATTACAATAATAAAAAAAGTAAGATAAATAAAATTGAAATAAATAACAATAAAAAATTAATATAAATGAATTTTAAAAACGACAAATAAAAATAAGATAAAATGAAATAAGTTATAATTTACAGCTCAACCTTCATAAAAAAAGGAAGAAAAATTAGATGAAATTACAACTCGGCCTTTTTAGACGCTTAAGGGGCATTATTATCAAAATATCATGAAAAAAATACTTTTTAAAACTTCTAAAATAATCATAGTTATGAAAATTTTCCATCTATGAGTTTCAGGAATTATTTTAAATTTCACATATTTTTTTATTTACAAATAATTATTTTTGGGGCAATTAATCTATAATCATATCCATTAATTTATATTTGTAAATAAAATATAAATTTATATTAGGTGGAAATTGAATACCTAACTGTAATTGTTTTTAACTTAATCTCAAATTATTGACATAATAAAAAATAAAATAAACATCTATTAATATATAATAGCAATACGAAAAAAATATATAAATAGAATGACAATTCCCGCTCAAAATTTCAGATTTTACTATTATTAGTATTTTTGTTAGAAAAAAGGCGGCCACTTTGGAAATTCAAATTCAAATTCAAGATAATTATTATTTGAGAAAGATATTGTGTAAAACTCACTTCCTATAAACATGGCAATTATTTCTTTAAATTCGGATACTTTTTTCCAAAAAAATATATTCATTTGTCAGATTAACGTGCTTAAATATATACCATGATTTGTTTAACCATAATATAATATATAATCATTTAAATGGATAGCATCTTTATTGCACAAAAAAATATATTCTAACAATAAATAGAAACTAACAAATATTAAGGATGGCGTGTATGAGAGCATCTCCAATGCTATAAGTGTGAAAGACCATTATTTTTAACACATGTCAATTAGTGATTGTAATGTTAATCCACATTGGAATAATGTTAAAAGACTAAAAATTTCAATAAAACTAGTATCTCCAATGCATCAATTTGATAAGAAGTTATTTGTATAGGTGGACCAATTAAATAATTCATTGATATAAAAAAAATAAAAAATTAAAACAAATATAAAGTAAATTGATGAGTCATCATGTTTAACATGGTGTTAGATATTAGAAAGTGTGCTCAACATTGTCAACATTAAATGACATCCACCTCATCATGAAAGAGTTTATGACAAGATGCATTGGAGAAAAAAATTGAGACACACTTTCAAAAGTTGATGATATGGATGACTTTTTATAATGTCAAAAGTTGCATTGGAGATGCTCTGATTTATAGTACATAGAATTGTTTTTATTTATTTTACGCAAATGGAAATATATTTCTCACATATAATTAAAAGATATCCTTCATTTTTTTTTATAGTTACTACTATGGGTAATGATTTCATTAAAAGTTTTTTCTTTTTTTTTTCTTTTTCTTTTTTTTTGTAAATCTTATATCCTAGAAATATGGGTAATGATTTCATTAAATTCTATGGGTAAATATGGTCAATAATTAGAAAGAATCTTGAATGCTTCCAAAAAATCCGATCAATCATTTAACAAATAAAATGTTTGATTTTTTTTTTGAAATCTTTCGAAAAAGTCATGCGAACTTAATTATTAAATATTTTTTATTCATATTTATCTGTCTACAAATCTCATATTTTATTATCACAACTAAAAGTTCGTATTTATTTAAAGAATGCTAATTTCGGAAATTAATTTTTGTGTTTTTTTTATTGTTCAACTTAATTGATAATTTTTTTTGTCCATATGTATCTAACTACAAAATTTTATAAAGTTTAGAAAAAATCTCATATTATATGAATTCTTGGTAGCTATTTTTTTGTACAAATTTTAATGCGAATATTAAATATCTCATATTTATTGAATATATATATTTTTTTAAAAAGCATGACGATTCATATAATTATTTTTTCAAATATCATGTGTTAGATGTCTTAGGAACTCTATTGTTGCTTCTCAAGTTTCATATAGAAAAGATGACACAAGATATTGATATACGATGAGAAATAAAATATACAAATATAAACGATGTATAAAGTAATATGTTAGTCGTATATAAAAATTATTTATTCTATTTACATTTCCTTATTTTATTTATTTTTGAATAATCACGTGAATTTGCACGGACCACAATACTAGTGTGTAATAAAATGAGTATACTATAAAAATGACAAAATTTTAGAAAATACAAAATTTAAACAAAATTATGATACCTTAAAAAATATTATAATATGCTGTTGTTGAAATATGGCAATGTCATTATTAAAAGACTATCTTACATATACCATCTATATATAAAAAAAAAGTTTGATTATTTTTTAAATATTAACTATTTCCCTAGAAAAAATCTATTTACTATTTCGGGAAATTAATTTAACAATTTATGGTACATATCAAATAATCACTTATACAAATTGCGGCTCATTATTTAAGAAAGTAATTAAGCCATATTTTAAGTACCTTAACTACTTAACTCATGTGAATTAATTAATATATAATATAAAGTTGACGAATTTATATTTGGTATTGATGGTTGTTTCTATAGGAAATAAATTAATCAATATATAGTATAAAGTGAGCAAATTTATTTAGGTTATTTGGTGACTGTTTTTTGGTAGAAAATTTGTTGAAAACTTAATCAACATACAGTGTACTCTTTCTGTAATGCGCAGACCAATATATTTGTTTTTAGGCGTGAGTTTCAATTTTTCGTATGAAATTCACATAATAAAATTACTTTAACTCCGACAAAATATTATGAACTGATATTTTGATATAATGTGCATGTATCGATTTTTATTTATGTAATTTTGTACAATTTAAATTTTATATAATATTTTTAATAAATTAATATAAGTACAGTGTATTAAATATTGATTTCATGCTTTTAATTTATAAATATTATTTAATAAGAATTTTTAATTTATAATTATTAATGAATATCTCTTACCCGTGCATCGCACGGGATTGGTACTAGTAGTATATACCTCCCCCACAAAGTCTTACTCCTATATAATTTGTGTTTCGACAGTCATCCGAATTCCAAAATCAAAGTGCGCCCAATATTTTTAACAATAATTTCACAAAAAGTTTTAAAAAAATCTCGTATCCAAATGTACCCGCCTTTCGACCCAAATATCCAAAATTTGCCCTAATTTCTTTCAGTCCCAATTCACTTTATTTGCTCAGAAAATTTTCATGTATATCCACTCACCGATTTTTTTCTCTACTACCGAAATCACATTAAATCAAAAGATCGTTATCAATCCCCTTCTCAGCGCCGTATGGAGCGCCGCATCTCCACTATCTTCCAGCGAGCGACCTTCTCAGGTGAGTCACGCCGAACGACCTTCTGCGTACGGGCCGCTCATCATTTTCCCTTAATCTCGCAGCCGACCACTACCTCGCGACCGCCGTCCGAGAGACATCCGCCACGCGAGAGACCTATTCGCCGTCAGCACTATGAATTTGCCGAGCAAGCCCCTGCTATACTCCGCCACGAACCACCCGGTGAACCCCCGCCTGATATCTGCTTTCCACCATTCTGTTTATTCAATAAAAAACTACCAGGTTTCTCTTCTATACTCCGCCTCGGACCACCCGGTGAACCCCCGCCTGATATCTGTTTTCCAGGTTTAATGATTGAATTGTATTTTACATCGCTACATATAATCTTGATTGCTAACGAATCAGAGGCTCTGGCAGGGATTCTCTGTTGGAGAGGTTGATGAAAGAGATCCTGGGGTGTCTATGCCGGGTAAAGCCAGAGTACGTGGACTCAGAAATGGCTGAATGCGGAGCAGGTGGAGAAAAAAATGTGAGTTTTTTTGTAGCTTCCGCCAATAAATTCAATTTGGGTTGTTACTAGTATTATAATATTATTAATTATTTATTGTTTTGGTTATTAATATTTTTTTGGAATTGATTATTTTGGAAATTAGTTTTTCCTTAGGTTTGATTTCTATTTCTATCATCGAGCTGTTACATCATCTTTCCGGCAATGGAGTTTTTGCTGATGTTTTGGGCTGGTAAGATATTGATCGAGGAAGTCTCTTTCTATGTGTTTTGATGGTGTTTTATTGCGCTATAGTCCTAACTTAAACAATTAATGCTAATATTTGGTATACTAATAGTTGTTGGTGTCTTATTGCTATAGTTGCTATGTTTTATTACACTACTCTGAAAGTATTTAGATGATGGAAAATATTTTGGGTATGGCCACATTTTTACTCATAAATATATCGATTTGATGATTTGAGTAGTTGGGCTTTTATTTCTTAGCCTCATCCTGACCATGCTTATAGTTGTTGGAATGTAGGACGATGAAAAAACTGGACTTGTATGTACCCTTGGTGCTTCCATGTCGCTCAACTATATATCTTTTACTGTTTGAAAACGTTTCAACAATAATCATGCATGAAGTGTGAGTCAATGCCTAAAATATGATGTCCATTAGCTATAGTACGTGATTAGAAACTAATCTTATACCACTTGATGTTGGTCTTAGAGAATGCAACAGGCTAGGCTAGTTGAAAGGTGATTCCCTTGTACAATGTAAGGTGCATCTGTACTTTATACTTTATATGTGTAAGAAGTGGCGAAGAAAGTGCCTCAAACCAATATTTGGACCAGTGAGATAACTTGGAGTTAGCTCCAGCATTTTTCCTGATGACTAAAGATATCCTGTAGTAGGCATATTGAAATTTGGCTCAAAGCAGGTTTTTAAGAAACTTGGGTGTCTGACTAAACTATGAGAATAAAATTTATTTTGGGGGAACCTTGGAATTATTATTTTCTTTAGTGCTGCATTTTTCAAGAGTATGTTTATGTTCATGTACTGATAATATTGAGAAAGTATAATGACTTGGTTTATCATTTGTTTTGCAAACTCCAGCTTGATAAGCAGTGTGAGCATGGAACTGTACTGCGCTGATCCGATTCAAGTTCTCAAGGTGTTAGCCTCGGCGGTGGGATAACATACTCCTAATTGGGATGCGTTGGCGGACATAGACGTGGTTGGAGTGCTACTAGAGCTAATGTTGTTCCTCGATTAGTAGAGCGATTAACATCAGAGGCTTTAAATGAAGATATTGAATGTGAGTGATGCACCTAATTTTTTTGTTTATCGAACTTCTGCCCTTAAATTTTGTTGAACTACCCTTTTTCCATGAAGTTGCACCTGATTTCTGTAGATAGAGATGCACATTTCTTAATTAAATTCAAGATGCTTTGGAGTTTGAAAACCACCTTTCATCTCCAGAGCAGGTATTAGGATGGTACAACATTTTTCTATGGAACTCTGGTGGATTTATTGTAAGTTGTAAAGGGTATGATTAATTCGAGTATGGAGATGGGCATGATGGTTTTCGTGGCTACCACTAGGAACAAAATCTGACCTCAAATGTTACATGTAAGTAATAAGTTCCATGTTAGTCATGTGCGAAATTACTTAAGTGTCCTACTTCTTCATATTTTAATTACTATACATTAATTTGGAAAGCTTAACACATACAGGTGAGCATTTTTTTTGTGTGGCTGCTTAGATTTAGCAAGAAGGTCCCGAGGCTAGTATTTCGAGGTTGATATCTTCAAGACACTCTATCAGAGATATGTCAACTTAGAAATGCGATATAATGGGATTTGCTATATTTTTTTATGAAAGTACTTAGGCTTTCTTTTTTTTTTTTTTTTTCTTATTTTTGTTTGGAACATTTTGAGATTGTTAGTTCGTTTATTTATGGTTTTTAATTAGCAAACATACTATTATTGTTATTTTTTCTAATTTATCATCTAGAACATAGTACCATCATATTAATTATAATTTTATTAATTAAATGTGCTCAATATGATAAATGCTGCTATGAACGTGTAGTGATGAAATTATCACTGTATTTTTTTTTCATGACATAATTGTTTCAAGTGACGATAGATTTTGTCAATGTATTATATATTTCATGACAAATGAACTTATCACTAAATATCTGTAATTAATGACAATTGTTATATTTATAATATTGACAAATTTTAAATTGTCATCAAAAATATTTTTTTTGTGACAACATGCAATTGTGATGTATTTGTTTGGATTTGTCACCATACAAAATATTAAACTGATGATAAATTTTGTCACTGAATATTTATCTTTTCATGACAACTTATGTTGTCATTATATCTCAAGTTATTGATGACAATCTTTTTTTTCGTAATCATAGAGCTAATAATTTTCTGACAAAAGAATTCGTCACTTTTGTATGTTTTTGGAGACAATAAATATTTCGTCACTATTTCTATTTTTTGTGACAATTTTGTTATTGTCATATTTAACATTTCTTTCTGTGACGATCAATATTTTGTAATTATAAAATAACTCTTTCATGATGAATTATATGAAATATGACGATTTTTATAACGAAAACGCCACAAAGATATTCGTCACTGAAATTTTAAAAATTCGATAAAGTAATAAAATTCGTCACTAAAAAATAATATTTAGATGACAAAGTTAAGTTTTCGTCATTTAAAACTTATGTTATTATGACAAAATAATCATTTAAATGACAAAATTATCATAATAAATGTGACGAAATTATCGTCATGAAAGATTATCAAATAACATGACGATACATATAATCGTAATTAAAAGTGAAACATTTGGTGACAAGTACGAAATTCGTCACCTAGACCTAATATGACGCGGCTACGGTGACGATCTCTGTGACGATAAAATTTCGTCATCAATTTATATTTGTGACAAAAAATGAGGTTTAGATGACGAATTTTATCGTCATGTTTTCTAAAATTTCTTGTAGTGCTAGTAGATGACCTAAAGCAGCCGGACACTTCACCCACTGGCCCAGCCACCCATCCTCTGTCAGTCCTCCCACATAGCCAGGATTGCTCTCTGGAGATGAGGATAGCTCCTGCCACCACTTCCTCGAAAGGGGAATTACTGACTCACCTCCCCTCTGTGGAGATTGGGATTTCCACTGAGCCTATAGCTCTCCAGCTACACTCTGACGGCGAGCTCCCGAGTGCTCGGCCGGATGGAGTCCCTTCACCTTCCCTCTCTGAGCAGGTATGCGGTACTAACCGCGCTCAGCACGACGTCTCGTGCGAGAGTTTTGCCTCCAGTGCTTTTGTGCACCATGACAGACAGGCACCTAGTGTCAGTCTTGGTCAGACTGCTCAGCCTGACGATTCGCAGGCCACGAGCGCTTTCCGAGGGCGTTCCCCCTAGAATACCATACCCACACCGCGCATGACGAGGCGGACTGTCTCCCCAATTCTTCGTCGATCTTCTCTCCATCTACCACCTCCCTCTGGTGGACTGACTCAGCCTCACCACAGGCGGACCCCGTCCGGTGGCTCTTCTGATTGTTGATATGTCTATCACGTCCATTACTTGGAATGGACGGGGACTAGCTAATAGGGCCACTCTCGCTCACCTACGCTCTCTCATTCGTGATCATAGATTGGACTTTGTCGGCTTTATTGAGCCGATGATTCGCGCCCCTGACTTTGACTATCTCTCACGTCGTCTTGGTTTTCATTCGGGCGTGGGTAACATTTCTCAAAAGATCTTTTTCTTCCACTCGCGTGACTACACTTGTCGGGTCCTCCGGGACACCAATCAGGTGCTTCATGTCGAGCTTTCTGCTGCCCATCTCCCTGAGCCCATATTTCACACTTTGGTTTACGCCAAGTGTAATAGAGTTGGGAGATATGATCTGTGGGACACCCTGCGTGAGATTGCTGAGAGTATGGAGGGATTGCCATGGATGGTTAGTGGCGAATTCAACATCTTTCTGCAACTAGATGAGCGTGTGGGTGGCCGCACGGACCGGTCCCGGGAGATGTGGGATTTTGTTCAGACTGTGGCGGACTGTGAGTTGCTAGATGCTGGATGTGAGGGCGAGCCTTTCACGTGGGTTAGGGACGACCTCAAAGAGACGCTCGACCGTGCTTTGATCTCTGAAGCGTGGTCGAAGGTGTTTGCGGTCACGACCGTCACGCACCTCACTCGATTTGGGTCTGACCATTCACCGCTCCTCATTAGGTGTCGCTTCTCGAGCACTCCCCGCCGCGCTTCCTTTAGGTTCCAGAACATGTGGGTTCGCCACCACTCTTTCCATGACACTGTCAGAGATTCCTGGCTTCAACTGACTGGGCTCTTCGGGATGCGCAATCTCGAAGCTAAGCTCGACAGGTTACGGCGTAGGTTAAGACAGTGGAACTGGGATGTTTTTGGAAACCTCCATCAGCGCCTTTCTGCGGCTCAGAGTGCGTACGCGGAGGCTGAACGGGCCTATGACCTGGATCCCACTCCGGAGAATAGGACTGCGATGCACCGCTGCCACGCCGAGTACCAGCTCCGCCTCCTTATGGAGGAGGATTTCTGGAAGCAGAAGGCGGCCGTTCGCTGGGTGGCAGAGGGCGAACAGAATACTAGGTTCTTCCAGGGCTTCGTTAGGCAGAAGCGTGCTAAGTCGTACATCCATAGTATTGAGGCAAATGGATCATCCCTGACCCAGGAGTCTCAGATTCAGGAGTCGGCTGTTGCTCACTTCCAGACCCTCTTCACCTCTGACAGAGGGTCCCTCGTTGCCCCGACCGTCTCTTTCTTCCCTACCATCCCTCCTTCGGTCGACCTTGTCGACCTCTGCGACCTTCCGAGCAGGGAGGAGGTTAGGGATGCTGTTTTTGGGATTGATCCCAACAGCGTTTCTGGCCCCGATGGATTCTCTTCTCTCTTCTATCAAGTCTGCTGGGATATAGTCGAGCCTGATGTTGAGGAGGCGGTATTGGATTTCTTCACCGGTCACCGGATGTCGGATTTGTTCACGGCCACCTCTGTCGTCTTGATTCCTAAAAGACCCAATCCGAGCTCTTGGTCCGACTACAGGCCCATTAGCCTGTGTAACGTGACCAATAAGCTTATTTCGAAAATGCTTAACGGCCGTCTTTCTCCTATTTTCCCCTCCCTCATCTCTCCGAACCAGAGTGGCTTCGTCAAGGATCGGGTCATTAGTGATAACATACTTTTGGCCCAGGAGATGATCCACGATATCTCCCATGCAGACTGGAAGCGGGCACCGAACATTGCGCTGAAGCTAGACATGGCTAAGGCGTATGATAGAGTGGAGTGGCCGTTTCTTAGGGAGGCACTGGCTAGGATGGGATTCCCGGAGCGATGGATCAGCTTTGTAGAGGCGTGTGCGGAGCATTGCACGTTCTCGGTCTTGGTTAATGGCAGCCCCACAGATTTTTTTCCCGCATCTAGAGGCCTTAGACAGGGAGACTCCCTTTCCCCATCTCTCTTTGTCCTTGCGGCGGACTACCTCTCTCGCTGCCTAGACGGCTTTATCCGCGACTATCCTCAGATGACATATAGCACCCGTGGCTATGGTCCCCCCGTCTCGCACCTATCTGATGCGGATGACATCATCATCTTCACTCGTGCGGATGGTGATGGGCTGATCGAGCTTATGCACCTTCTGGTGATGGGCTGATCGAGCTTATGCACCCTTTCCTCCTCCAGCGCGGACAGGTGGGCTCAGCGAGTCCACGAGATCACTGGCTTTGTGCACAATGACCTACCCATTACCTACCTTGGTGCCCCTTTATATAAGGGCAACCTCACGAGAGCGCTCTTTGCGGGCATCAGGCAGAGGATGATCGATAGGATTTCTGGCTGGTCACATAGACATCTTTCTTTCAGTGGTCGGCTTGCTCTGATCAAGAGCACCCTTAGCTCCCTCCCGATTCATTTACTTATGGTCCTCGACCCCCCTAGGTCCACGCTTGACGAGATTAACCAGATCATGGCTCGTTATTTCTGGGGTTATGAGGATGGTTCAGGAAGGGGGAGACGTACCCACTGGGTGAGTTGGGACTCTATCTGTCGCCCTCTCCCTGAGGGTGGCCTTGGCATCCGTCGTCTTAGGGATATTGTTATTGCCTTCTCATACAAGTTGCGGTGGCGCTTCAGGGAAGGAAAGTCGCTTTGGACTCAGTACCTTTGCGGCAAGTACTGCTCTAGACGCGCCAACCACCCTTGTTGGGTGACGGCGGTTGCGCATGATAGACAGTGGCGGCGCCTTACTAGGGTTGGTAGGCGCGCCCAGAATCACATTTTTTGGGTTTTGGGGGATGGCGAGGTTAGTTTTTGGGATGAGTGGTGGTTAGGTGATAGGCCGTTGTCTAGAGATAGGCAGGTTTCGCATTCCCCCCACCTACTTGTGCGCGACCTTTGGTCGGAAGGGTCGTGGGATAGGGGGAAGCTCGATAGAGAGTTGGGCTTCAGGGCGGGTTTTAGTGAGCAGTTATTAGATAGGATCCAGCAGATACCCATCTCGGGGGATGGTTCGCATGGTGTGAGGTGGAGACTTACATCATCGGGTGTGTTTTCAACCACCTCGGCTTGGGAGCAGATCAGGCTGAGAGATCGGCCGAATCTTCTCTTCGGAGCCATCTGGAGCGACCTTTTCACCCCTACCATATCTGTTTTCCTTTGGCGCCTCCTCTTGCGCCGGATACCCGTGGACACTGTGTTACATGCGAGGGGGATCTCCTTCCCCTCCCGATGTGTGTGTTGTTCTGAGACCGGACTTCATGAGACCGAGACCTTTACCCACCTTTTTGTAGAGAGTGAGATTGTGAGGAGAGTGTGGGAGCATTTTGCTACTTGGACTCATATATCCCTACCCTCCACAGACAGTTTTTTTGAGCTCCTGAGTTTTTTCTCACAGAGCACACACTTTAGACACGTGAGCTTCCTCATTCCTTGTCTGATCCTTTGGTTCACC